TATGTTGGGGAGGGGGGGGGGGGCGAGTCCATACCCAGATTTAGATTTACTCAATTTGACAGTGCTGACTGGCGCTTGCCTTTTTGACTAAGTGCTGTCATATGGATCAGGGAGCCCTTCCGCCCTGTGTAAGAAGTGACTTAGGTCTGTCATTTTTCAGTTCCAACACCTTAATGGAGCAACAAGTAAGAAGGAAAGGGAAGTATATACTGCTGGGGAGAGGGGTATTAAAGCAAAAATGTTGCCCTGCTCTATATGTCCTTCCTCATCTCTATAATAGACTTGTGCGCCGTCAAAAAAATTTGTTCCGTTTTGTTTCGTTTCGGAATATCCGTTATTTCGTAATTTGTGTCCGAAACTCAATTCGGATTCGTACGAAATACGGATTTTCGTTAGTTTCGGCACATTTTCGTAACTGTACGAACATTCGTTATGATGAAGTAAAAAAGCAAAAATACCTTTGTTAATATTGGAGTCGATGTGATAGTTCTTTTTTTATCCGAAATACGAATTCCGTTAACGGATTCCGGATCTGAATTTCGTATAAAAAAAAACTACCATCAGGCATCAACTCCAATATATTAACAAAGGTATTTTGCTTTTTAACTTCATCATAACGAATGTCCGTAACGGAACGAAATTCCGTTAACGGAATTTCGTATTTCCTGCCTGTATTGTAATGCAACTCTCAGCAGCAGCGGATCCGTATTTCGGATGTAAAAAAAAATCTTGTCATGTTGTTTAACCTCATTTACAGGGGTAATATTAGTTCCCGTTTCATAGAAATTCGGATCAGAAATTCGTTAACGGAATTTCGTATTTCGGATATAATTCGGAAACTGCAATTCGGATTTCGGATGCTTCCGAATTTACGAATTTCAGGAAAATTCGTACGAATTTCGATTCGTAACGAAACGAATCGCACATGTCTACTCTACAATTAAGCCCACTCTTTGGGTAAAAAAGCGTCACAGGAGGAGGTGGTCTCAGCTGGGGTTTCATGTTTGTTTGTCTGGATTAAGCTCCTTCATGTTGGATTTTATATGAACCTGCTGCAAACTGTTTTTTGTTGGATTTGTCCGATGTGATGCCGGAATCTAACACACTGAGCTGAGATCCACCTGACTTCATTAAATTCAATGACGTCCCTTGTTATCGTACATACTCACCTAGGCAGGTGGGCAGTGTCAATACCGGCATGGAGCCGTGCTGATGCTTGTGTGTTACTGAGCAGATGAGATGCACAAACAGAGGCGGCATTTCGTGCTCCGGCAAGTCATGCCCATTCAGAGAGTCTCCTAACACGCTGAAAGAGTCATCGTCCTGGTTCACCGTCTCCGATTCAGACGGCGATTCGGCATTATCCGAGTGCTCCCGATACTCCACCTCCAGGTCTGGGTCGCTCTCTGTAACAATGCCACCGGCTGATGTGTTACCTGTGATGACGACGACAGACAATTAGTGGCAAACTCGTGTCTCTCGATAGCTGGAGTCATTTATGCCCATGCCTTACCTTCCTCTGTGGCCTGCTCTGCTTCAGAGACATCCATTTCTTCACTTGGCTTCCTATCACCTGCGTCTTGAGCAGCATTTTCCTGCGAGGCAAACAAGGCATTCAGTGAGATTTCACCTAAAACACCATATTGGTTACAAAGTAACAAACTATATATAGTCATGTGAAAAAGTTAAAGCCGATCTCCAGGATTTTCAAAAGTTAACCCCTTGTGCATCATTTTAAAGAAATTCTTTGCTGGGCGATTGTCTATTTGTTTGATCTTGATTCAATATAGGGCTGCAACAACTAATCGATGATGGAAAAAGTTGTCAATGTTTTCAATCATCGATTAATCGGCTTTCGATTAGTTGGCCCTGTTCGCAGCTCCACACACGCCATGTGTCGCCCCCGCACCTCCTCTCCGCCTCACGCTCGCCGCCAGACCCACATCCACGCTCCATACGCCGCACCTCCTCCCCGCCTCACGCTCGCCGCTGCCAGACCCCGCCCCAATGCCTGCCCACATCCACAATCGGCACAGGGGCGCGGGGAGAAGAAGAAGTAAGGAAGAGCAGGCGTGGGGGGACGACAGCCGCTGACAGACAGGCCCGATCTCAGAAGCAAGTTGCAGGAAGACTGCTCGGGTAAGCCTGTACTTTCCCACACATGGTGCTCTATAATGTATTGCTGGGATAGTGGGATTGGTATTACTCTATAGCTGATGGTACATTGCGCTTTATATTATACAACCCAATATACCATCAGCTATAGAGGAATACAAACCCCAGCAATACATTATACGCTGTAAGTATATTGTATTGCTGAGATTTGTTGTATTCCTAAATAGCTGGTAGTATTCTGCCTTGCGCTGTTTAGAGGACTACAAATTCCAGCAATAATACATTATACAGCGCAATGCAGAATACCGCCAGCTACAGAGGACTACAAAACCCAGCAATAGTACATTATACAGCACAATGCCGAATACCACCAGTTATAATGTACTGAGATTTTTAGTCTTTTATAGGCGGTGCCATTCTGCATTGATTGCTGTATGATTTTACACTTTTACTATATTGCACAGCACACATTTTTTCTTTTTGCTTCCACCGCTCCAAGCATGCTCCTGTGATGGACTACAATCTCAATACAAACTAGCAGTCCATCACTGGAGCCATTTTTAAAAAAATCTGATTAACCGTTTAATCGAACTCAATAATCAATCGAAATCGATTAGTTAGCCGATTATGAAAATAATCGTTAGCTGCAGCTCTAGTTCAATAAATAAATATTATTTCTAAACAATCAAATTAAACACAGTGAGAGTTTACAGTCTGCGTTACAATAGAACAATACCTATTTAGTACACTCACCTCTCTCCTCTGGGAAGATGGACAGTAGAAGAAATAGTGAGGGTTTGAAGGCACTGTCTTAAAGTGGAGACTCCCGATGGCCAGAAATTTATCCTACATATAAAAATAAGAGGACGGTAAGGATTCCATTGTTTGTACAAGCTAGTGGTAAAGGGACTGGGTAAGGGAAACTATAGAATATTTTTTATTTTTTTTTACTGAATGCACAAAATATTAAAGACCTGAATGACTCGATGAAGGTCCAGAGACACCTCGCAGGGATGTCCAGAATCCAGGACAGACAGCTGGAACTCCGAATACGGATGGACACTGGGTTCTGGGGTGGAGATCACATGGAGGTCCTGCTCAACACACTCCTCTGTATCCACACTAACAGCAGAAGAGACCAAGAGGGGTGATGATTCAGTTAAAATGGATGTAAGGAGGCTTACAGCAGATAGTCACAGCCGAAATTTAAAGATAGAGCTAGAGTTTGTCAGTAACTAAAACTCCTTTGATCCAGCACTATAAACTGAAGGTTAAAGGAGAACTATGGGGTTAAGGCTTTTCCCCATAGTTCTCCTTAGGGTAACGGGAGGACACAAACTAGCCTCCTCCCGTCACCCTAGGCTCAGTATATAGGGAGCTGTAGCTCGCGCTATACTGAGACGCCGCAGCCGGAGCGGATCCCGACGTAGATGACGGGATCCGCCCAGCTGCGTGAGTGACAGCTGGATCTGCCTATCTAGAGGCAGAGCCAGCTGTACTCGCCCCTCCCCCGTCCGTTCCGCCAGTCAGCGATGGCGGATCGGAGCGGGGAGGGGGAATCCAGCCCCTCCACTGTCACGGCAGAGAGCCGTGACAGGATCGAGAGGTGAGCGAACGCCAGTCGGCTAGAACTATGAGGTGAGTGAAAAGCACTCACCTCATATTTCTCCTTTAAAGACTTCCTGTGTCCCTCAATCTACAAGAAATAAAATACGCTTAAAGGAGAACTATGAGGGGGAGGGGGGAGGTGCTTTTCACTCACCTCATAGTTCTAGCCGACGTGTGACAATGAAACTGTCACAGGTCAACTCAGTAGATTGGGAAGTGAGCGAACACATACCGTTCACTCACCTCTCGATCCTGTCGCGGGTTTCGTGACAGGGGAGGGGCCCGATTCCCCCCTCCCCTGTCTGACCTCCAGCGCTGACTGGCGGAACGCAGCTGGGCGGATCCAGACATAATTCAGCTGCGGCGTCTCAGTATATAGGGAGCTGCAGCTCCCTATATACTGAGCCTAGGGTGACGGGAGGACGCTAGTTTGTTCTCCTTTAATGCAGCTCCGTAATTATTAATACATCATTAATATGTCTTTGATATCTGCATGGAGTTTAGCTTTAATCTCAAAGGTTTGTGTATTCGAGCTTGGCACCACCTGTCTTCTTTAGGTACCTGTAGGTGATACCCCTAATCTCAAAAGGTATGTCTAGTTGTGCTCAACATTTCTCTTCTTTATTACAGACATTACAGATACACTGTGAACATCAAAAACTTGGTATAATAAACATTCCAGGAAATCAAAACAAAAAAAACTACAGTGTTTAATTCAGTAGAAAGGCAACAAGGCCCCATTCACACTTAGCGTATCGCAAATCGCGCGTTTGTCACGCGATTGTCATTCTGCGCGATATCGCACAGTTTGTCGTGCGATATCGTGCAAATGGTTGCATTGAGCAAAGTAGAATCGCGCCAAAATCCGCTCCAAAAAGGGTCCTGTTGTCGACCCGCAACAGCGACGAAAAGAGCCATGCATTGGAGAGCGATATCGCGCGGTAAATATCCGCGATATCGTGCGATAACGCTCAGTGTGAATGGGGCCTAAAAAACAGTTGCTGAGAAAGTTTCACATTCTGCAGAGAGAGCACCATGTAGCGATAGAAGCATACAGAAAATTGGAGGAACCGGCAAAGGTTTCTAGTCAATACCTGGACTCTGATTGGAGAACGGACCCATCCCTAGCCGCCACCTCATCTTCCTGTTCTAGGCTGCCGATGCGGAAGCTGGCCTTATGCACCCGTCCTTTCAGAGAGAGCCTGGGAGACACCTGCGTGTCCCGAAAGCCTCGGAGATGGCCACACAGCGTCATCAGGAAGTTGGTGATATCGACCTCCTGTAGTTGCTCTTCACAATAATCCACTGCCGTCAGGAGGTCCTGGTGTGACACCCAGAGAGACTGCTGAAGAGCTTTGAACAGGCCTGGCAAAAAAAACAAAACACAGGGGTGCAAATTAATATCATGTGAATGGTTGTATATCTATATATACACTGAGTGGCCGGATTATTATATACACTGAGTGGCCGGATTATTATATACACTGAGTGGCCGGATTATTATATACACTGAGTGGCCGGATTATTATATACACTGAGTGGCCGGATTATTATATACACTGAGTGGCCGGATTATTATATAAAAGCCGAAGGGCAACAGTGCCGTGTCAGATTCCTCGCATCACCTTTCATCATCTCGTGGAGTCACGAGGCGGCCCAACGAAGTACTGATGGGGTGGTCATAATAATCTGGCCACTCAGTGTATATATATATAGCTATATACACAATATATATACACACACATACATACTGTATGCACACATAACCACCCACATACATACCTTTAGGGCAATCCAAACACATCACAGGTCCTTTCAGTTCTATACAGTGCACATGTAATGATGTGGGTGCCCCATTCAATGCATAATGCGCCCAGAGTTTGTAATGACACCCATGGCAGCCTGGGCTCAGAAGAAATAGATTGAATGACACAAAGTGTCATTCAACCTGGAAGACTGAGGACATCTAGTGATGGAAAGGAACCAGATTAGATGACCTGCTTGTGTGAGAATGAAGCTCCTGGAATTCTTTCCTTTAGGAACCACTTCACAGCGTGTGATATCGGCGGCGGAGGACAACCAGCAGGCAGTGAGTGTGTGTGGGAAGGGAGAGAGTGCAGAGAATGTAAATGAGGGGTTATGGAAAAGAGGAGAGGTGGTGGGACTTGTTCTGTAGTCCAGCATGTCAGGAATGACAATACTTTTTTGGACTCCAGTGGTAAAGAGGCACTGTGTTGTCACTCAAACAGGAAATTAGGAGCACACTGGATTACTGGCATGTCCACAGGTATTTTTAAAGGAATAGAACACAGGGACATTTGCATATGTTGAAAAAAAGTACTATATATATATCTATATATATATATATGTATAGATCTATATATATATATAGATATATATATAATTATATGTAGTGCAGACATACACTTCCTCTCAAACATGTCAATGCTGAAATCTAGAATTACAAGCTCATTGCTTAGATCCCCCGGCCAGGACATTGTCCCACCTTTCACATAACACTGGTGATAGTGCTCCTGCAGTAGATTGCAGTGGTTGACGAGTTCCTTTTGTCGGTGGTGTATGAATGGAATGGCTGTCGGACGTTCTTGCGACAGAGACCTGCAAGGATGCATGAGATTAATTTCTGTGTAGATTATACAGTCATGAGTAAAATGTTGTATTATCTGAGCAAATATTCATTGAAACTGCAGTAAATTTTCTATTGATTACAATAAGGGTATAAAATCTAAATACATGTGAACAAACAGCAGGGCTAATACTGAGGCCAGCACCTTAGTAAACACCTGAGCTGCACATAGGCACGAGATGACTGATTGATAGATGCTCGAAAATGATCATTTTCTCAGATGATAGCTATTGTCCACCTGGGATGCCAGGCGGGTTCCAGGATTGTTGCAAAAAGAGGGTATTTTGGAGATTGGGGTTTTTTTAGGCACTCGAGACAATAGTTTATTATAAAAATTAGAACTTTTATTCAATACACGATTAAAAAGACGAGCTCATATTTTTTTAAAAAAGGAGAGAAAGCCGATTCAAGGAGAACACCAACAAGCTCCACCAGAATCCTGAGTTATGACTAATTGTAGTCACATAAATATATTATTACAAACAGATTTTTAATTGTAGGTCGCACCCCCTACATTCTGGTTGGCATATCCTAGTTGACTAGACAGCCGAGAAGTTTATTCATAGTATTTGACATCGAATCAAGATGGAACAAAAGATATTGTTGGGTGTTTGCGACCATCCATTACCTCTAATTGTATTTGGTATGGCCCTTGGAAAAAAATGATTGTTAGATACAGTTGGTTCAAGGTTACTATCCTAACAATGGTTTATAGTCTCTTTGTTGAGTCAACTGGCCATGTCAACCATTAACAGTCAGTAGTGCGTTGCTGCATATTATATTGTATACAAAGTCTCAAAGAGAGGTATAGTCTCGCAGTTTTGGGATTCAGGAGATTGGGACTGGTGGAGTAGCGACGACACGTTTCGCGTGTTGCCACGCTTCCTCAGGTCTGAGGGTGTTCAGTCCCCGGATGAGCCAGGGGATGCCCTCATAGAGTATTGTCAAATATTTTTTTTAGAGTTTTTTCTACACGTTTTTTAAAACGTTTTTAACTTTCGTCCAGACAGTGGAATGAGTCAGTCAAGATAACCGCATCTGTGTCTTGTACACTCATGTTAGGACCCTGCATGTGTGTCTAATGATTCATTCCATGAGAGGCCATCGCTGTCTATCCGAGCAAGGCTTGCCGGACAATTGAATCAATTGGCACTCTCCTTTTAAACACCGTTTCTACCCATTCCCCCTTTTCCCCATTTAAGTTCCAGGATTGTCTGATCAGCACATATATATGCATGATTAATAGAAACAATGCTACGGTATATCATCATTGAGTGATCTCATGTCCATGGCTAGCTGTTGAGTGCATATCAGAATGGCTAGGTACTTAGTGAATGGATGTCATCAGCACACCAAGAGTATTGTAGTCCAAAGTATTCGTTTATTGAAAAACGTCATGTCATCAGAACTAGCGCTTTCGGGGCCATGTAGAGTCCCCTTCACCAGGCTCAGCAATGACCCTATGTGGCCCCGAAAGTGCTAGTTCTGATGACATGACATTTTTCAATAAACAAACACTTTGGACTACAATACTCTTGGTGTGCTGGTGACATCCATTCACCTATATTATCTGGCGGCGCCATCCGCAGTCATTACGAGCAACCTCCCCACCCCCCCCCTCATTCGATCCGCGGTTTTCCGGTAAGGAGTGTGACAAGGCAACTCTGCGTTTGTTCCTGGTTAGATACTTGGTCACGTGAGCTCTGCTCAAGGGAAAATCCTAGAGTTCAGATTGACCATTCCTCCTCTTCCGCAGATTCGGTGTCATACAAATCATTTTACTGCTTTACCTGCCAAAAGATTGCTAATGGAGTGCAAACAATTTGAGACTGAACCACCTAATTCATATTGCACAACCACACAGATTGCATGTGTAGATTCTCATTAAGCAATAGGACTTCCTGGTCCAGCAATTCAGATTCCTACGTCCGCTCTCCGGACCATGATACTGTATCATCACCTCTGTCCAGTACAGGGAGTAGACCCAGGAAGCAGTAAAGCTGAAGCACGATCAAGAAGTGAGATCTTACTGAGTGGCAATGACGTATTTGTTGCAAGAAAAGTTTTCAAAAATGACATACATACATTATATATATATAATGTGTGTGTGTATTTCATCCATATTGCGGTCTGCTTGCTTGGACTTTAGATTTAAAAGGAGAACTATGAGGTGAGTGAAAATCAGTCATTCTCATAGTTCGAGCCGACCTGTGACAATGAAACTGTCACACGTCGGATCAGTAGATCGGGAAGGGAGTGAAAGCATACCGCCGCTAGCTCACTTCTCGATCATCTCCCGTCAGAGCAGCGACTGCCACTCACGGCTCCCTGCAGGGATTTCCCCCCTCCCCGGTCCGATCCTCCAGTGCTGACTGCAGGAACGGACGGGGGAGGGGGCGGGTACAGCTGGCACTGCCTCTAGATAGGCAGAGCCAGCTGTCACTCACGCAGCTGGGTGGATCTAAACAGCATTGTTAGGATCCCCCCCAGCTGCGGCGGTCTCAATATACCGGGAGCTGTAGCTCGCAGTATACTGAGCTTTGGGTCATGGGAGGACGCTAGTATATGTCCTCCCATTACCCTTAAGAGAACTATGGGGAAAAACACTTACCCCATAGTTCTCTTTTAATATGAGAACAGTTCCTGCTCTAAATAAATTGATGAATAGCTGGGGAAGGTGACCTGGACCGAGTGCCCTTATGAAATCACAAGCTTATACTTTTATAAATGACAATACAGAAAGTTTAATACTTTTTACTGGCTAAATTTAAGTTATTAAAGATTTAAAAAAAAGCTTTGGGGGCCCCTTAGATCCCCTCCTCAGGCTTGATAAAACTCTCAAGGAATCTGAGGAAGGGATAGAAGCAGTCCTTGACTTACGACTTAACTTGAGTTAGCCAATAAAAGGTATCACTTAAATTACAGACTATTACTGCTATAAATGACAAAAAAATAACACCACACAAACACAAGCCATCAGCAGACATTAGGAGCTTATTGGAAAAACATGGTGCAGTGTGTTCTGGTGCTGAAACCCAGACCAGCCAATGTCTAAGAATATGAGTGCTGGAATAAGGCAAGCATGTCTTCTTTACCTGCTTGTCTGTAGGTGTCCTTAGCTATGAATTATAAAGGACAGAATGATGTAAAAGCAATGCAATTGTTAGGATGCTTGCAGCTGAGAAGAGGATTTCAAGAGGCAAATGGGATAAAAAAAAATGTTATCCAAACCCAACAACAATATTATATTGCAGCTTATCAGTCTGTAGATGTAGTGGCTGCATTAGCTGCATTGTCGCCATAGGACAGGAACTGTGTTAGGACTACAGAACACCCCCTTCTCCTTATATCCATAACATAGGGGAGAGAACTGCAAACAATGCTAACAGGTAACTGTCAGCAGAGGACAATTAGGACACACATATGGAAACAATCATATCATACTAAGTGGACCTAAACTAAAAAAATTGGATTTATGTACTCACTGTAAAATCCTTTTCTTGCATTGATGGACACAGGAAGTCTATAATGTTCCAGTTATACTGCCAACTACATGAGGACTGGATGCCGGTAAACAAAAAAAATGTCTGCCCGCCCAGGATACAGTAACCCCTCCAACTGTCAGTATGCCTCAGGTTTGTAGTGAAGCAGTAACAATAGCATGATCATAAACACAAAGGGGTGGCACATGTGTCCCTTAATAGAGTCCAAAAAAGGGTTTTACAAGGTCTACAAAAACCCTATTTTCTTTATTGGCTTGAGTGATGCATGAAGTTTTAACCTTTGGGACTTCCAAATGCACACCAACTGAGGGGTGGACAACACATTAAACAAATACTAGCAGGCTCAAAAAAAAAAAAAGCAGAAAAACTGGGGACAGCATGCAGCTCGAAGAGCTGTCTGAAGGACCTTATGCCCCAATCCCAACCTCAACAAGGGGTTGCCCAAGTACCCCACAGTGGGAACGACATAAGAGAACTGCAGGGCTAATACTGAGGCCAGTACCTTGGTGAACACCTGAGGTGCATATACGAGGCTGAAGGACAGGGCCACAGACTGGTAATAGAAGGTCCCATGGAAAATGTAGGAAATGGTGATGTGCCTTTAAAGATAGGGATATGCCGATAACACAAAGTCTCTCTTGTGAATGAGAGGTGACAGATTTGGTGCAGTCCATACAAAATTTCTGGGCTCGATTGAAGACAATGGTGAACAGGTTGGAGTAAAACCCTTAAAAACCGTTCGGCCAATGTAACTGAGGCAATGAGACCTTGGTCTAGAAGGCCCAAGAGGGCTCAACAGAGATCTGCTAATCTGTGTGATGACACAAGGAGGCTGTAGGTGAGAAAACAAGGAGGGAAGGAAGCGTAACTCCAGTTTAAAGCCCAGGGACACCACCTCCTGCACTCAAGCAAAGGTTAAAAAACTGGCCCCCAACCTGGAGAGTGGAGACGCACCACAATGCAGAGGGAGGCTTGTTTTAGGTTCTGGCAGACTATGAGTTTCAGACCTCGTGAGTGGACTGGCAACCAGGCATGAAGGGTCTTGACAATGGTCCCCCTTGAGTCCGTGGAAACACAAAAGGAATGTTACTTAACAATCAAAAAGGGGAGGAAGATCTCAGTCTGCTCCTTGGTCTTTAGGCTTTTGCCACCAGTAGTGTCCTCAATGATAGTATTAAACATGATAGCATTTAGAGTTGGTCTGAAGAGATGTCCAGATACAGATCACACACTGTCACTGACATAAGTCAGTAATAGAGAAAAGATCAGCTACAGGAAGCCTACAGGCGATTCTGGTGACAAGTCCTCTGTCCTCCTTTTGCACAGTACAGGTCCCAGAGCAATCATCCTCTTCCTGGCTACTCTACATAGTCAGTCAGTAAACCAGGACAATCGTATAGTCTAAATAGTCTGTGGCCCCAAACTGTACGATTGTTTGAAGTCAGTGACTCATTAGGAAGTGAATCCAAAACTGAAATGAAAGCTGTGAAGCCTGCAACTTCAAAGTAAGCAATGACAGCTCCCATGTTTATCCTGTCGCATGTTCCCTGCCAATGGAGTCTCCTAGCTGTACAATATTAACGTAGAGGATCCCGCCACAGTGGAAGACGACCTTGACAGTCTCTCCTGCATGCAAGCGTTTTTGCACTGCATTGCTTTAGATGACGAAGGCATATGATTGGCTGCGATGGATTTCAGCACCACTGAACACAGACCACCTCATTAGTACATTGGACTCACATATGTATGTTATAAAAAGTACAGGATAGCCCCAGCAGCACACAGGTCACACACTCATGTGTTCTGCACATGCAGCTCAAGCAGAGGTTACACTGTTCCCGCAGGTCCACATCCCCAAAATGCCACCCAGCTCCACATTTACTCCCAGCCCATCCCTTGCATATGCAAAGCAGCACTGTGTCTTCATACTACCTGGACTGCACCTCCTGGAAGATTTCCCACGACACTGACTCTTGTCTAAACTCACTGGGAAAGAGAGGATAGCATTAGTGGTTCCGGGATTATGTTCTGTGGAGAGGACCAGCCAGCAAACTCTTAGGGTTTAAAGGGGTTGAGTACGCCGGTGATTGTGTTATAGTGTGCGCCCCTTTAAAACTTCAGATGCCAGCCAGGTGCTCCATGGTGGGTACCGTTTTTCCTACAGTACAATTTGTACATCTATTGACAAGTCGTCATATATTTATATTTGTCTAAGATACGTCTTAACTCAGAAAAGTATAGGAGGAAGATCACCAGCACTCAAAAGGTTTTTCATCAAATCCTTATGTTCATTTATTGCGAAACAGCGTCACATATATCACTATAGCCAACGTTTCAGGGCCACGCAGGGTCCCTTCATCAGGGCGACATAGTGACAAGGAGCAATACAAGTAACAAGCATATATATACACCCCAGTACCATAGCAAAATGCTAAGCCACCTCCCCATGACATCATAATGACATCAAAAGCCCACCACAATTCAAAAACAGAAGATCGTTTCAATGAAAACGGCAGAAACATCCCAATCACTTATCTATCACAGTAACACCCGGTGTGAATTGAATTGTGGTGGGCCTTTGATGTCATTATGACATCATGGGGAGGTGGCTTAGCATTTTGATATGGTACTGGCATATATATGTGTGCGTTACTTGTGTTGCCTCTTGTCACTATGTCGCCCTGATGAAGGGACCCTGCGTGGCCCCGAAATGTTGGCTATACTGATTCATGCCAAAAGTATTGGGACATCCCTCCAAATCATTGGATTCAGGTGTTTCAATCACCTCCATGGCCTCAGGTGTATACAATCACGCACCTCGGCATGCAGACACATTTGTGAAAAAATGGATCGCTCTCAGGAGCTCAGTGAATTCAAGTGTGGTACCGTGATAGTTGCCAAGTGTGCAATAAGTGCAATGCAAAGCGTGGGATGCCGTGGTGTAAAGCACGCCGCCACTGGACTCTAGAGAAGTGGAGGCGTGTTCTCTGGAGCGACCAATCACGCTTCTCTGTCTGGCAATCCGATGGACGTGTCTGAGTTGAAGCTGTTATAGCTGCAAAGTGTGGGCCAATTCAATACTGAACCCTACAGACTAAGACTGGGATGCCATTACAGTTCATGTGCGTGTAAAGGCGTCCCAATACTTTTGGCAATATATTGTATGTGACGCTGTTTTGCAATAAAAGAACATAAGGATTTGATGAAAAACCTTTTGAGTGCTGGTGATCTTCCTCCTATACAAGTCTAACGTGCACGGCGCAATCCGTGATCATCACTGCGAGCACAGCCTGTTACTCTATGGTCGTGAATGCTGTAAGGAGTGCAGGGGACACATCTGTTCATCTTAAAGGAGAACTATGAGGGGAATGATTTTCACTCACCTCATAGTTCGAGCCGACATGTGACAATGAAACTGTCACAGGTCGGCTCAGTAGATCGGAAAGTAAGCAAACACATACCATCGCTCGCTCACTTCTCGATCCTGTCCCTGCAGAGAGCAGTGACTGTCAGTCATGGCTCCCTGCGGGGATTCCCCCCTCTCAGCTCCGATCCTGCAGCGCTGACTGGCGGAACGGACGGGGAAGGGGGCGGGTACAGCTGACTCTGCCTCTAGATAGGCAGAGCCAGCTGTCAGTCACGCAGCTGGGTGAATCTCGACAGTAATGTTGGGATCTGTCCCGGCTGCGGCGGTCTCAGTATACTGCGAGCTGTAGCCCGCTATATACTGAGCTTAGGGTCACGGGAGGACGCCAGTTTTTTTCCTCCCATGAACCTTAAGAGAACTACGGGGGAAAGCACTGACCCCATAGTTCTCCTTTAACTCAGAAAAGGACACAAGCTCAAAGATGTGCTGAACTGCTACACTGCGCTTCTTATTTTTTAATTAGCAAGTACCCCTGAACTTGTCATTAAGTCATATGCAGTATATTGGGAACAACACATGAGCATATGAGTGGAGCACTAATTATACGTTGAAATTGGAAGGTTCTGCAAGGACAGAAATAAGAGTTGTCGCTGCTGGCTTGTTTTAAGGTTACAGTTTCCAGGGCCGACTTCCTGATCTTCAGTATCTCTCACTAAGGAGAATCACGAAGTAGTTCAGAAAGGATAAGGATGGCAGACCTGGATCATCAACAACAAAAAAAAACAAGTCTGCTCCCGTATTTCTGTCCTGACGGATCCCCTTAGCAAAGTGACCCCTGCTGTACACATGATCCGTTTGGGTTATTAAATTCAGCTCAGTGGCTCGGATCCGAAAAACTGAACTGACCTGAAGAAGATGTCACAGCCGAGTCTCTGTTGCCTGGGGCTGACCAGCTGCTCCCGCAATGCCTCCAGCGAACAGTTATACACGTAAACTGGACAGCGCAGTCGGCGGCTCGAGGTCACGTCCTGCATGGATGACTGACGGCTGAAGGAAATGTGCATCTCTCTCTTGTGCTCAGCTTCCTGCCCATTGCCTGGTAGGAGAAAGCAAAGAGACGTTACAGGTAAGGGATCAAATTGCCTTCAGCTGCCTCCAAACATATATAACATCTAATCCAAACGGACATTTCTGCTGCATTTTCATTGCATTGGTGATTGTTCTGAGTCATATTTCCTGTTTAATATCTGACCTGTTGAGGCCTCACTAGACTGATCTATAGGAACACATAACTGATTTATAGTAACCCTTTAAAGCCAAACTCATTCCATTCAGTGTCACAAGTGTACAGCCTCCTCTTCTAGACTGAAATAGTTTACTCTGATTTCACTGCACACCGGGAGCTTCTCACAATGTGCATTACAATCTGCAGCAAATCAGATAGAGCCCCGCCTCATTTTCTGGCTGGATGGCATCCATTATCATCATCTAGCTCTTTCCTCCTCAGCTTGACTGGCTCTGGTTTGCCCCTTTCATTCATTGGATTTCAGTTCTTTCAATCAAGGAGGCTCAGCAACACATGTGGGTGTTAACTAGGGCAGTCTGCATGCAAATACAACTTGCCTAGCTCCTCCCACTCCTCCAGACTGACATCCAGCCATCAAGACATTTTGATATACGCATAATGCCTTCTCCTGCAGGCTGCTTCTCCCTTATCCAGTCTGAGCTCTGCTGTACAGAGGACTGCAAACGTCTGTTGTCAAATCAAATTCAAGTGCTTACTCTGCCTGCATTTAGGGCCCTGTCACACCAGCTCCGGCGCATTCAAGCGCGATTTGCTGCTGGAAGGCACTGTAGCACATCCGGGCGGGCTTCCTGCGATTTGCTGCTCGAACGCATTGTAGCACATCCGGACGGGCTTCCTGCGTTCAGGGTTGGGCCGGTCCAGTGCGACGTGAAAGAAATAGTGCCTGCACCATTTTTTCAGATCGCACTGGACCGGAACGCAGGCATTGTTTTGCCACGCGTTCCGGAGCAGGCGATCACACTGCAGGCGATCACACTACCGGTGGGTGGCATGGCTGCGGTGCCATTGACGTCAATGCACCGCCACTCCCCCTCCCTCCCCTGAACGCAGGAAGCCCGCCGGGATGCGCTCCAGCAGCGACTCATGCTGGAACACACCGGAGCTGGTGTGAACCGGCCCTCAAACAAAATACATTTAAAGATATAATAATGGATACAGAGCTACATTAATTTGTGTCTTTTATATCTACCTAGAGTTCAGCTTTTAATGTATACAAATGTTTGCCTTTATGTTTTTGTGAAGCGCAACGCATGGACAGTGTCACTTACCCACTGCAGGGGTGATGCTCAGAGTGGGGATCACAGCCCCTAAAGGAATAGTCTCTGAATGAGAAGAGTTACACAATGAGCTTCCCTCTGTGGACAGGGAGAGGTCTGAAAGGGTCATCAACTTCTGGACATCTGGAGGAGAAACAGAATAAAGATCAGTAATATCCATAGGCAACATGGAACACAATGCAAAAACCATGCAGCAGCTACACCATATGGCCAAGAGATTGAAAGCATCCTCCAAAATTCTGAGAAGGCTTTCTAAAGATTTTCAGAATTTGTAGGAATCTGTGCCCAATTGTGAGGTCAGGTCCTGATGTTGGATGAGAAGATCGGGCTCAGAACCTTTCACCCCAAAGGCGTTCAGTAGGGTTGAGGTCAGGGCTCTGTGCAGACTTCTCAAGCTCCTCCACACCAAGTCTTTATGGAGCTGGCTTTGTACACAGGGGACAGTCATGGCGGAGCAGAAAAGGACCTTCACCAAACTGTTACCACAAGGCTGGAAGAGCGCAATTGTCCAAATTGTCTTTGTTTGCTGTAGTATAATCAGCGCCCGTTCAAAGGAAACAGCTTGACTCAATTATTTAGAACCGTGTCCACACATCTTTGGTCATATAGGTACTGTATGTGTGATGGTCAGTCATCTACAAACTTTTGGCCATACGGTGATAATAAACCAAAAAACCTTCTGTAAGAATAAGTGAAAGAAGTTAAACTTACCAAATGCAACATTTATTGATATATGAAGATTTTATTTTTGGAACATACCAGAAAAAGTGGCAGGAAGGAAAGTTAGCAGAAAGTGTTGTGGGTTCACTAATCGGGCATAGCATCGCCACTGAGGAGGTCCCGCTCCATTGGTTAAGGCTCTGCCATCATCTGTCTCCTCTGTCGGACAGGGACTCTAAAACAAAACACAACAGGTTACATTGTTTTTTTGCAGATCGCACTGGAACGGAACGCAGGCGCTAATGTGCCTGCATTCCGGGTGCGGGCGGGAGGGGGGGGTGCGGTGCCATTGACTTCAATGCACCGCCACGCCCCCTCCGGTCCCTGAACACAGGGAGCGCCGCCTTGCATTCCAGTGCGTTCCAGAGGCCGAACGCTCTGGAACGCAGACTTTGTGGTGTGAACCGGCGCTAAGCATTTGACTGAATCTGTATAGATAAGGTCCACTTGAGGAGGTGAGCAGTCTTCCAATCGAGGGTGGAGCACAGTTTGAAAACACAGAGAAGGGAATTTATCAAAACAGGAGCAACTGTGCATACTGTCTCTTCTCTCTCTCTGCTGTCTCTTCTCTCTCTCTCTCTCTCTGCTGTCTCTTCTCTTTCTCTCTGCTGACTCTTCTCTCTCTTTGCTGTCTCTTCTCTTTCTCTCTGCTGTCTCTTCTCTCTCTCTGCTGTCATTTCTTTCTCTCTGCTGTCTCTTCTCTCTCTCTCTGCTGTCATTTCTTTCTCTCTGCTGTCTCTTCTCTCTCTCTCTCTGCTGTCTTTGTTATCTCTGCTCTCTTTCCTTACCTGTGCAGTGCAGCAGCTTCCCGGGTCTCCCCTCAGGTGCGGTGTCCTGTCCTACCGCGGGGCTCGTGTGGCCGAATGTGCAGACCGTCTGCAGCGACTGACATATTATGCCGCACGAGCACCATGGGTGGGAGGCCAGGTAAGTGAGCCGATCGCGATCTACCAGTGTTTGCTTTGCGATCGACTGGTAGATCGTGATCGACCTAATGGGCGACCCTTGCTCTAAGGGTTTGTTCAAACCAGCCCACCTACTGAAACAGGCTGTTTTAGCACGCAGGCTAGTGTCCATTGTGTACTGGCTGCGAGCAACAGTGGCTTGCGTTGCTGCAATGTAAAGAACTGTTTACCTTTTTAATTTCTTTTTTTTTAAACTTTATAGAGAAATGTCACAAAATAACACATCACTCATGCAACCCACCACAGCCCACCTCAGCACAGCATTGTGGTGGGAACAGAGCACATGCAAATGCATGGTCTTGCTTCACAGTGGATAGATCCATTTAAACAAAATGTACCTTTCTTTTTACTGAACTACGTCTCCCAAGGCCTTTCCTCATAGCGATCTGTCTGCTTTCTAACAGACCCAATTTGACCCCCTATAAACTGTCCCTGCTTTATGACAGCTCTGTGTCTTCCACGGTCACCTGTGCTTAGTAAACCGGTCACCTGTGCTTAGTAAACCTCCGTTTAAACTTGACAACTGATACCGTACCAGGCACCCATGCAAATATGTACATGCAAATTCTAATCAGTGCAGATCACAATGTAACACAATATGGAACACTCAGAGCACAAGCAAATAAACTGCTGTGCAAGAAAAAGATAAAGCCTGGGGGTGATAGGACATTTGGATTGCAGGTATAGCATGACGTTCCATTAGTATTGCTCTATAGATATGAAAATGTTGTATTTAAATACTTTCAAAGGACTAAGGCTCAGGCTCTATCGCTGCAAATGGTGCGCCAGACATTGAGCAATGCTTGTAACTATTCAGGCCCTTAAAGTAAAACTAAATCTAAACGCATCATTTTCATACAACCTTTAACATGCTAATGTACTTTTAGGCCTCATTCACACACAACGCAAGCAAAATTGTATATTGCGTATATACGCGTCTATGCGTGCACTATTTGCACTCCCAGAATGCATAATTCCTAATGGAAATTTTAATGAACTGTACGCACATACACGCGCAAACATGCGTACGTGCGTAAAATACGCAGAAATACACTGCCCGGACGCATCTCGGTTCCATTCTGTTTTTGCGCATATATAAGCTACGCAAATAAACGGCTCCATACGCGGCTATGTGTATGGAGCCATTTATTTGCATATGGTACAATACGCACGTACGCGCGTACATGCGCGGCAGCGTGAATGAGGCCTTAAAAGTCATTTTCAATTTTTTTAAATCCACAGCTTTCATTCAAAAAATAGCAGGTGATCCTGCCACGATGTAACCATCTCCCAGTTGTGCTCCTGTGTTGTCACTCTATTACATACATCCCATTGCATTCTTGCCCATAGAATCCCAAACAAATCAGCGGTGAGTGCTGCAGTGATGAGTGGATGGCTTCCCGTTGAAAGCAATGAATAGAAGAATCGCCAGCACTCTGACTGTGATTCTAATACATATTTTATTGACGCATGTTCACAATATCACAAAGCAAAGTTTGCTTTCAGATATCGTGAACATGCGTCAATAAAAGACGTATTGGCATCATTGTCGGAGTGCCGGTGATCCCTCTATTCTATTCCGAGCCCAGGCATGGTGCACTAATGTCACTTATCAGGAAGCTAGTCTACAGCAATGACGTGAAGCCGATGCATGTAGACAAAACTGTGAAGGAGATCAGCAGCAATATGATGGGGGGTGGGGGGGGGGGGTTTATTTATGGTACACAATGCTTTATAAAACTAAATGACATCCAGTTAGGGTTTTGATCCACTCTATGTCCTCATTTAGTTTCCTGAGAAGCTTTGGATATTGTGAGAGTATGCTTTTCCACCTTCCTGGAGCAAGCTCAATTCTAGACTCTGCAAGGGATCCTTTGGGCAAGGATCCCTGCCGCTGCTGCTGGCTGTCAGACATGTTGCGCAATGGAATACAATTAGGCACTTCAGGGCTATCATACTATCCAGCAGGGATAGCAATAACAGCATTACCTGTAGCGTGCTGGCAGAGTTGGTAGCCTCTCGCTGACTATTTTGATGTAAGGGGGTGGAGTCCACAGTCTCTGAAGTGTATGGCTGTCTCATTGGCTCCTCTGTAAATAATTAGTAGAATGAAACCCTTAGGAGAACAGAGATGAACAAAATACATTTTAAATGTCTACCAAATCTCATCTCAGCATAACGCTGACCCCCTCCAAAAGCCTAGGCTTACCTTTAATACCATGTTCCACAATTTTATTTGGCTAATTGACTTCATCAGCTTTTCAGCAGCAATGTTAATCACATCCCCAAATACATATAGACAGTCACTAGGCAGGGAAAATGAGCAGAGGTATTATGAAAAGGATCTGCACATACCTCGGGTACATGAGAAAGGAGTGGAGTGCCCTTCACGGTCACGTTGGAGAACCTGCTCCATGAATGTTTGGTGGTCTTGCTCATATAGAGGGATCTCCTGATCATTGACCTCACTTTGCAGACACCCATGAAACAAGCTAAGCAGCATATCATTGGGCAGAGAGGAGTCCTGTGCTGCATTCTCACTTTCAGCTGTAGGAGAGACAAATTTAACAATAATTTATTGTCTTTATTCTTGTAAAGGTATTACTTTTCCAAGTGTTACCATCCACAATGGTGCCATGTCTTACATAAGTATATACTTAAAGTGACATTAAAGGAGAACTATGAGGTTTCACTCACCTCATAGTTCTAGCCGACCTGTGACAATGAGACTGTCACAGGTCGGCCCAGTAGATCGGGAGGTGAGCGAACACATACCGGCATTTGCTCACCTCTCGATCCTGTCACGGCTCTCTGCCGTGACAGGGGAGGGGCTGCATTCCCCCCTCCCCGCTCCGATAGCGCTGACTGGCCGAAAGGA